TAATGTACAGTATTTGAAAAATAATGTGTTTTTTGAACATTAAAGCATGTCAACATATTCTGTTACACCAAATACACCAAATAATGATCTTTAAAAAAGCATCATATGACCCCTTTAAACTTCTACTAAAAAGAATAAATAAATCTTGCCCTGCCACTATTTTCAGTGGCACTACCATAAAAATACAGATTTATTTTCAGCAACATATTTTATGTGTCAGGAGAATATATTTATATTTTTCATTGAATTTAAAGTTTCATTTACAGAAAATAAATATTTATTAGTTTTATTTGCTGGAATTTTTACAGTAAGCATAGAGTTTTTATAAACATACTGACTTGTTTGATGTTTCCAGTACTAAAATCTTAAAATATTAATAATAATAGTAACATATTAACTTATTTATTGTTATTAATTTATTTATTATTCTTAAACAAATTTATATATATTGAATAAATAATCAGCTTCATGTATTATTATTAATATTTATTTATTAACTTTCCTAAAAACACATGTACATAATCAACAAAAATCGTAGTGACGACACAGCTCTAGTTTGATGGGGCAGGCAACAGCTTAAACTCACGCGTATTGAAACCAAGCAATCCTTGTTCTTAAAACCTGCATATATTCCATAGGTTACACTTATACTTCACTCTCATACTCCTCATCATAAGCAAAAGTGCTGGTTCTAGCATGCGTTTACTCCCCTGAGGGGAAATCAGCTGGAGAGACATGAGAACGAATACAGAAAAACATTGAGCACATTTTGACTACGCCAGGTGTATTTCAAATGCATTTATAGGCAGAGGGAAAGCAGGCTAAAAGCATACTGAAATGGGACACTGGTCCCCCGTGCGTGTGCTTCCCGCCTCCTCTACTGAGCCTATGAATTTTAATCTTCTGATGGACGGCTGAAACCGGAATTTAAAAACCATCGTCCGTCTGCTTCAATCATCAGTGGCTGTGTTGCTTACCCCAGGGACATAGAATGGAGGAATGTCACTTCCAGTGACGAGGCGGAGAAGTTCCGCTGACAGTCTGTGCGGAGTGAGCACAGACTATAGCGTAGTGCAGGAGACTGGAACAAACAGAGCGCATTGGTTATAATGGGATGCCTGGGGGCTGCATGAGCTCTCAATCAAGACTCCTGTCTTTTCCTTGATTGGTTTTGACATTCTGCATGCAGTAGCCTTTGTTAGGATATGTACCTCTGGGATTCTTATACTCTCATTTCTTGAAAGGGGCCTACATTTTCTATACTTTTGTAGCATTTCGTTTTTTTTTTTGTGTGTATATTTATAATCCTAGTTAAGGATTCTTGCATTAAAAAACAGCCAATTAACTTGTTAACTTGATCAGTTTTCACACCCTCTCTGACCCTTAAGGCCCATTTACAAGAAAAATAACTGTAACTATATTTGTGTCCGCACAAATGCAAGATAATGTTCTGTTTATTATAAGTGTGCATGATATGTCATCTGTTGATTTTAAATGCTGGAGAGCTTAAATGTCGGGTGGATTCTCTTTGGCTGTCAAATGTTTTTATCGTTCATCAGCTGGAAAAAATTATGGACGTGAATCCAACCATATTGTTCCTCTTCGTTGTGGACTACCCTATTCTTATAGAATTTTAATTAATTCTGGTGTGAGCAGCCTTTACACTTTGTCCTAAGCAGATGATACATAAAGTATCAAGCAATCAAATCTAGTCCATTTTTTGTGACCTTGATAAGCAACGTGTGACATGACGTTGTCAGTCCCTTAGTTTTCCTTTTTGTAGGTTTGTGTTTCCCCGCCCACTTTGAATCCCATTGGTCTAAACACACACTCCACATAACGGTATATTAAACATGTCTTAATTGGGTATTTTTATGCTATGTCGTTCAGCATTACATCTTTCATTGTGGACAGTAAGGCAGCGGCTTCTATGTAAATGAACTGTGTTATGACTGGCTAACCTCGTTGCATATCTAATCAGTAACAAGGATCCTAAATGGTTTTTTCAATGTCAATATGATGATTTCTGCTTAGTTTCCGTTGGATGAGTGGATAGGAGTTTTACAATGTGATTATTACAGTATCTCTAGTACATTGAGGACTTTTATAGCAAGTAAAATGCTGATTTTCATGTCCTCTTTACAGACATTTTTGTTCCAGACTTTGTTGTTCTTTTATTGAATGTTTTTAAAAAGAAAGGAACTGTGACTCATGAAGAGTGAGGTTTAGTACTGTTGAAAACATTCAAGGCGCTGACACACGGACAAAAGATGGTTCTTTGGGATTTTCAGTGTTCAAGGACTCGGATAAAACATGTCAGAAGCATACACCAACGCAACATGCTTCCACACATTGTTGAGGAGATAAGAATGAACAGCTTTGTGTAACCTGAATAGATTTTCTTTGAACGAACAAAAAAAGCATCCACAAAAACTGTAATTAGACAAAAAATAAATTTCAATAATTAAATTAAAGCCACTTTCCTATCGTTCCCTTTTGATTTAGGTTCAGACCTCGATAGATTCAAAATTATTTCATAAACGTTCTTTATAAAGGACCTTTTAGAATAACTTTGAAACCTAAATGTACCTCAGGGCAGTTTAATAAAAGTTCTACTAAGGCCAGTAGGTTTTGGTAGGTAAAAACTTATTTCTTTTTCATCTCCATTACAGATGGTCTTCAAAGAGAGTATCAAGTGCTAGATGATAAAGTATTCTTTTTATTTGTTTTTATTTTAATTTCATCATTTGAGCTGTTATTGGCCCTTCTGGTAATCTTAGAAGCCTAAAACAGGATAAGATTATCATACCTCCTCTTCAGTGTCAATGTCAAACCCTCTATATATCTTGCATTTCTCTTCTTTTCCATCTCTGCAGACGGTCTGGTTGTTGTAGGTGTGCACTCGGCTAAATTCCCTAATGAGAAGGTCCTACAGAACGTACGCAGTGCGGTGTTGAGATATGACATCACCCATCCTGTAGTGAACGACCGCGATGCCTGTCTGTGGCAGGAGCTGGAGGTGTCCTGCTGGCCCACGCTGGTACTGCTGGGACCCAGAGGGAACCTGCTTTTCTCCTTGGTGGGTGAAGGCCATCGAGAACAGCTCTTCCTTTTCACTGCTGCTGCCCTCAAGCACTACAGAGAACAAGGGCTGCTCAAGCACCATGATGTGGGAATTAAACTGTATAGAGACTCCCTGCCTCCCTCCATCCTCTCTTTCCCTGGGAAAATAGCCATGGACCCCAGTAGCAAGCGGTTGGCTATTGCCGACACAGGACACCACAGGGTACTGGTGGTCTCCAATACTGGGCAGGTGCTGCACTCTATAGGGGGTAAGACCTGTTAATACACGCTTTTTAAGTTAAGTTATCAAATTCAGGGGACACTGCTTTTGTTCTGTTTTTTAAAGAAAACAGGGACACTCAATTTCTTTATGGTGCATAATTACATTAGAAAATGTGCATTTTAGTTTCAGAATTTTTTGTACTTTGTTAAATTTTTTCTTAATATAATTTGACATGCGTTCAGATCAGATCTTCATTTAATTATTATTAAAATTCATGCACATACTACCGTTCAAAAGTTTTGGGTCAGTAAGATTTTTTTTTTTTTTTAAATAAAGATTTAAAAATAAAGATTTTTTATTTATTATTATTATTATTATTAAACAAAGATGCATTAAAGGGGTCATATGATGCGATTTCAATTTTTCCTTTCTCTTTGGAGTGTTACAAGCTCTTGGTGCATAAAGAAGATCTGTAAAGTCGCAAAGACTAAAGTCTCAAATCCAAAGAGATATTCTTTATAAAGGTTCAGAGTCAACCACGCCTACCTAAAACGGCTCGTTCTAACACGCCCCCACATATCTACCTCACTATGTGGGAAGATTTGCGTCTTTCTCTGTGTAATAAGCAAGTCATTGAATCATGCATTCAAGTGATTCCTTCGTTCATGACCGAAACAAGTGTAATAATTTTCCTTTATTATGACAACAAAGCCTGTTGTTGTTTCTCCAACTACCTGTCATGAACAAGAGTCACAGTAAGTACTTGTTCAGTGCTCTTTCAGACTCAAAATGACCTGTTTAGTGAAGGGGGAGTGTTCATTTAGTAAGTCAACCAATAACATGCCCAGTCAATACCTGCTGTCGAATGCTATTGGCTCGTGGTATAGCCATTCTTTAAAGGTGTGGTCACATTCGGTCAAAAAAGCGGTCCATTTTCTATTGTCAATAGTGTAGCGAGGTGTGAAGCTCAGCTCACAGAGAAGTCACTGTCAAACCAAGCAGCTCTCAGTTGGTCAGCGCAACTTAAACGTTAGTGAAATCTGCATGGTGAAATTTTTCACTCTCGTGCATGGGTTCCTATTGAAACAAATTGAAATGAGCAACGGTAAAAGTAACTGCACCTCAAGGCTGTAAAGTTGGTATTCACTTCAAACGGGAAAGACGAGTCAGTGCAGTGAGAACGATTCATTGATTCAAAATTTTTGCTCAGATTCACTGATTTGCTTACAAACAAAACACTAAGATCACTATAATTGTAGCACAACCTTATGCCTTCACCCAGAGGCAGATATACTGTTACTTACTGCAGTGAGTTCAGCTCTCATAAAATGCATACATGTTGCAAACATGATTTCAGATTGCATAACAATTGTCTTAGCCACACCTTAAGATTAAAACCCAGACTGGTAACTTTTTTTTTTTCCTGACTGGTGAAGTAACATATTTGTTTCAATAATTACTCAACATAGTTTCAGCCATTCATTTTAAAGTGAGCAACGCATTTTTTCTATATTTTTTTTTTATTTTCTATTTAATATATAATTATATAATGGTAAACCAGAAGTCTGTGTGTGTGCATGTACACACACACACGCACGCACGCACACACACACATATCATTAAGAATTTTTTTAATATGTCAAGACATATTTGATAAGAAATAGGTAAATACAGTAATATTGTGGAATATTACTACAATTTAATTTAACTGTTTTTTATTTTAATATATTATAAAATGTAATTTATTTCTGTGATGCAAAGCTGAATTTTCAGCATTATTATTCCAGTCTTAAAATTTTCCTATCAATGATGAAAACAGTTTTTGCTGCTTTAATTATTGTGAAAACCATGATACATTACCATTTAAAAGTTTGTGGTAAGTAAAAAAAAAGAAAAAAAAGAAAGAAAGAAATGAATGTTTTTATTCAGCAAGGACTAGGCCTGGGCGATAAAACGGTATCAGTATTTATCGACGGTACACCTTCTTCGATAACGATATAAAAAATTAGTTAGATTTAGCGCACGATATAGGCACGTGCTATGAGTGACGCAGACAGCTCACACAAACACGAACACATGCTGAAATGAGTGCTGTGCCTGCCTGTGATGAGGAGATTGTGAATAAAAAATTAATATTAGTCGAATTTAAAGGG